CCCCAGGATAATAGCATTATGCTGATCAGCAATAATTACTGCACACAATTAAGCAGGCTTTCCTTTTTTCTTTTCTCTCTGTTTTTTGTTTTTTTCTTTCTTTCTTCCCTTTTCAGTGTCTGGTCCAGGGCAGAGTTTGCCAGGAGCTCCAGCTGTCCTTGATCCAGATCCTGGCTGACCTAATGCTCTGCTCCTGCACTTTCCAGAAGCTACACTTCAAAATCAAGTGTTGAAGTTTTAAAAATACACATGTGTAGGCCCCACCCTTAAATATTCTTAGCTGGGTCTCCAGTGGGGCATGGGCATCTGAACTTTTTAAATTCCTTGGATAACTCTTGATGTGTACTATGGTGTTGAGAATCAGTCCTAATCAGATGGGAATTCCGGTAGTGTCACAAGGACAGAAATTCAGCTCTAAAATATGCCCTGTTCCCGGCACAGACTGCCCCAGCTGCCTGTTCATGCCACAGCATTGGCGGCTCTGTCCCCTTTCCTCATGCACTTCGTCCTCCACATACTTGTCCCCTCTTGCCTCCCTTTGGGGCCATCAGGAAATTAAATCAGCTGTAGGCCCTGGAAGGGGCTCCATCCTTCTCCGCTGAACTTGCCTTCCTGGAAATTGAGGATTGGGCTAACACATTGGAAAATTGAGCAAGTCATTGGAAACCTGTTGGGTAGAGTTCATGTCTTTCCAACAATAGGAGGGCACACAGGGACCACATGTCTAACCACTGTCTTCCCCTCCTTTCCTGTTCTCAACATCATATGGGAAAGCATTAATTTAAAAATCCATTATTTGGGGAGATGCCTGGGTGGCTCAGTCGGTTAAACATCTGCCTTCGGCTCAGGTCATGATCCCAGGGTCCTGGGATCGAGCCCCGTATCTGGCTGTCTGCTCGGCGGGGAGTCTGCTTCTCCCTCTCCCTGCTGCTCCCCCTGCTTGTGCTCTCTCTCTCCCTCTTTCTCTCTGTCAAATAAATAAATAAAATCTTTAAAAATAAATAAATAAAAATCCATTATTTTCGAGTCTACTTAGTTATCAGGCATTAGGAAGTATTGTTGCCTCCTAGGTTAAAAAAAGTTTGAGATTATGCAGTGCCTCAAAGATAAATTTACATGTGTACATGATTAAATCCAAACCTTACTCAGTCTCCCTTGCACACTTTGTAACACACCAATACCAGACAGGTATTGCTGTCATGTTCATATGCCTTTTTATACTGAAACTGCTTTATAACCTCTGGTAGGTTTTCTGTCTAATTAACTGAAGTGTACATTTTTGATGTAATGGTGTATTCTTGAAGAGATGGTAACACTTTAAAAAAAGTTTCTGGCATAGTGTTTTAGACAGCAGTTTTGGTAATATAATGTGTTACACATTTATTCTTTTTATTTTAAGATCTGATAATGCATTTATTTTAATGCAATTGACAAGAGAGTTTATTATATTGCAACTGGCAAAAGAATTTGGTTATTTCTATGACATACATCTTAAAATTATGACTGATAACATTATACTAGGACATAACAGATTTAAAGTTTAATATCACATCTTATTTGATAATGCTTCTCATACACATTTATCCTTTGATGCAAACTTCAGAATCATCATTCTGTTGAGTTCTACTCAATTCCATTAAGTTATTTTTACTTTTATTATTATTATTTTTTTAAGTAAGTTCCACGCTTACAGCCCTGAGATCAAGAGTCACACGCTCTACCAACTGGGCCAGTGAGGCGCCCCTGTTGAGTTTTTTAAAAAATATAGAACCACAAGGGTTTTGATTAGAAATTCATATATAATATATATGGAAAATATTTATATTTTTATGTTATGAAATGTTTATATCCAGGAACATGGAGTCTCTCTCTTTATTAAAGTCTTTATATGTTCTTCAATAAAATGGTATAGTTATCTTCTTAAAGGTCTTGTATGTTTCTTGATAAATTCATTTTTAGGCATTTTTAAAAATAGCTTTAATGAGGTAGATTCACTGTATAGAGTTGCACAGCCATCACCATGAGTCAATTTTAGGACTTGTCACCACCCCCAAAATTTCCCTCATATTTTGTTGCAACTTCTCCCACTTCCACCCCCGGCCTTAGGCAACCACTGATCTTTCTGTCTCTACAGATTTGCCTTTTCTGGACATTTACCATGAACGGCATCATATCATATGTAATCTTTTGATCTGGCTTCTTTTCAGTTTGCATAATGTTTTTGAGGCTCATTTGAATTGCAGCATGTATCAGTAATTTGCGGATAGTATTTTTATTGCTGAACAGTATTCTGCATAGCTCTACCACATTTTCTTCATCCCTTCATCAGTTGATGAGCTGGTATGAATAATACTGTTACGGATATTTGTATATAAGGTGTATGGGGACATATGTCTTCATTTCTCTTAGGTAGATTCCTTGGAGTGAAATTGCTGGGTTGAACAATAAGCTTATCCTTTTAAGGAACTGCCAAACTGTTTTCCAAAGTAGATGTACTGTCCTGTTTTAGATTTTCACAAACAACGGCTGAGGATTCCAGTTACTCCACATCATCACCAACACCTGGTATTGATGTCTTTTCAATAATAGTCATTCTAGTGGGTCTGTCTTAGTTACCTCTAGCTACATAACAAATTACTCCAAAATTTAACTGCTTAAAATCAAACATTTATTACCTGGCAGTCTCTGTGTGTCAGGAATATAGGCGTGGTGAACTAGGTTCTCTGGTTTAGGATTCCACATAAGATTGCCTTCAAGGTATTATCTGTGGCTTCCCACCTCAAGGCTTGACTGGGGGAGGATCTGCTTCCAAGTTGACTCAAGTAGTTGTTAGTAGGATTCAGTTCCATGTGGTCTGTTGCACTGAGGGCCTTAGCCCCTCACTGGCTGTTGGCTGAATGTCTCCTTCAGTTCTTTGCCACGTGGGCTTCACCAAAGGGCCGCTCACACGTGGCAACTGACTTCCATCAGAATGAATGAGTGAGAGAGCAAGAGAGGGTGAACAAGACTGAAGCCAGAGTCTTTTTGTACCTTAATCTCAGAAATGACATCCTATTACTTAGAGACAACCCACCACATTCACTATGGTTTTTTTTTATCACTGTGGTTTTTATTTGCATTTCCTTAATGACTAATGCTGTTGAACACCTTTTCACATATGTATTAGCCATTCATATATCCTCTTTGGTGAAATAGCCACTCAAGTTTTTGCCCATTTAAAAAACTGAGTGGTTTGCCTTCTTATTACTGAGTCACAAGAATTCTTTCTATACTCTGGATACAAATACTGCATTAGATATTTGATTTACAAATTGTATTGGTTTTCTATTGCTTTGATAACAAATTACTGGAAGCTTAGTAGGTTAAATGACACAGATTTATTATCTTACAGATCTATAGGTCAGAAGTCTGCTGTTTGGGTCTCACTGATCTAAAATGCAGGTTTCTGCAGCCATACTCCTTTTGGAGGCTCTAGGGGAGAATCTGTTTCCTGCTCACTCAGGTGGTTGGCACAATTCACTATCTTGTGTTGTAAGACCAAGGTCCTCATGTTCTTGCCGGTTCTAAGTCAAGGGAATGGCCCAGAGGCCACTGAATTCCTTGATTCTTGGCCCCCTTCCTCCATCGTCTAAGCCATATCATCACCAACAGGTCAAATCTTCCCCATGTTGTGTCTCTCTGACCCTTCCTCATTATCAATGTCTCTTTCAGCATAGCTGGGAAAGGGTCTCCTCTTTTAAGGACTCTTATGCTTAGGTTGGGAACATCTAGACAAGAAAGGATAATCTCCACATCTCAAGTTCTTTACCATTAATCATATCTGTAGAGTCTCTTTGCAATGTAAGGTTATATACTCATAGGTTCTAGGGATTAGGAAGTAGACATTGGGGGCGTGCAGCATTACTCTGCCTACCATACAAATATTTTCTCCCAGTCTATGGTTTATTGTTTCATTTTCTTAATGGTATCCTTTGAAGTACAAAGTCTTAAGTTTTGATGACATCCAGTTTATTGATTTTTTTTTTGTTCATGAATCATGCTAAGAATACTTTGCTTAACCCAAGGTCCTAAAGATTTTCCTTATGTTTTCTTCTAGAAATTTTTATAGTTTTAGCTCTTCCATTTTGATTTATGATCCAATTTTTTTTTAAAGATTTTATTTATTTATTTATTTGACAGAGAGAGACACAGCGAGAGAGGGAACACAAGCAGGGGGAGTGGGAGAGGGAGAAGCGGGCTCCCCGCAGAGCAGGGAGTCCGATGTGGGACTTGATCCCAGGACCCTGGGATCATGACCTGAGCCGAAGGCAATCGCTTAACCGACTGAGCCACCCAGGCGCCCTATGATCCAATTTTTTGAGTTAATTTTTATATATGGTTCTAGGTAAGGATCTATTTTTTTTTTTTTTTTTTTTTGCATATAGCTATCTAGTTATTTCAGCACTGTTTATTGAAAAAACTCTCCCTTCATTGAATTGTTTTGGCACCTGTGCTGAAAATCAGTTGGCTCTAATTGCCAGGACTTATTTCTGAACTCTCAATTATCTTCCCCTGATTCGTATGTCTCCCCTTGTACCAGTATAACACTCCCTTCTGTTCTAGGTCTTTTTAAGTGTTTGTTACTATCAGGAATGGAGTTGAGATTATTTTGAATCTAAAATATTCTTAACTCAGAAATATTTTCCTTAAACTCACTAAGAGTTTAATATTTAATCTATTATAACACTGTCTTGGCTTTGGAACAGAAGGAAAAGGAAACTTTCATGCCTACATGAGGTAACTTGAAAATTGCGTCGAATCTGTTAAATTCTATCTTACCAGACTAAGGTGCATCAGATATTTTGATGCTAGTGTTAAAATATCTTGATGAATAGTATTTAATTTTGTGCTTTTAATTGGAGCAGGTTGTTGTCTATTATTATTATTATTATTACATACTCCTAGTCCCTTGGTATAAGTAACATTTCCAAAGATCCGATTTTCTTTCTTCTTTCTTCCAGATCAGCCTTTAGAATCCCGTAGACTCTGCAACAAGCCAATTCAGAGCTTGTCCAACATGGACAGCATTTTCAGTGAAGCCCTTCTGAAGATGCGGAAGCAGCATCCTGGGTGCCTTTCTCAGGAGACGTGTGTCCGTGCAGTCCAGGCTGCCGTCCAGTATCCCTATGAAGTGGGCATCAAGAAGGAGGAGGAGTTGTTCATGTACCTTCAGAAATCAGGGCAGGCTAGAGCCCTGCAATATGTTTTCTTTGCGGAGAGGAATGCCAGTAAGTGGTCAACCCCCTCGGGAGCATCCTGGAAAACAGCAACGGCACAGCCCATCTCCTCGGTTGGCGTTGTCGGTAAGAACGTGGTGGGGTTAAAGTCATTCTCCAAATCTGCACATAGGAAGTGCTGCCATTTGCTTAGGCTCTATACTAAGCATGTTATTTGTGTGGCTAACTTGGTTTTCACCCCAGCCCGTGAATTATCTTCATTTTACATGTGAGGCCTAGAGACACCAACCTCCTCAAGAGTGAGCTAAACACAAGCGGTGTGAGGGTCTGGCGCTAGGTCTGTCTGACTCTAGACTCTGGGTATTTTTTTCTTACTCATTGCCTCCTCTTCCCTGCATGAATCTCTCACTCGGATTTCCCAGCAATGATTATTGTTTGTACCACATTTCCAAGTATGGTCTGTCACTCTTGTAGATAAGTGTTTGGAATGAAGGCTCTTTGCCTTTTCTGGTCCCTGGATTCATTCACTTCTCATTTGACATCACTATCCTCAAATCTCTCTGCACCCTGAAACAGTGAACTCCCTACTTTTTCCCTCTGGAATTTTTCCAAACAAAACCTCTTCTTTCCTCAGAAGCTAGTCCTCTGATTGGCTTCTTTGGGCTACTTTCCTAAGCTTCCCTTGTTCTTAGTCTTGACCCAGGAATGGTCTTTGGTGGATTTTAAACTCCCCTGAAATGGTAAGCAAAATGTTATATGTGTCAGCTTATATATGGTCTTCTGGGGGAGGAGGTCCATAGTTTACTGAAAGTGTCAACTTTCTTAACCCTCACCCAGCTGTCCAGCACCAACCCAGTTTGGAGGGAAAGACCCCACTCTACATCTTCTCAGTCTTCTGTTATCAGTCACACTGTGCTCTTTCTGGCATTGACTCTGTTCACTTGTGATTTTTAAAATTTTATTTTATTTAAATTCAACTAATTAACATATAGTGTAGTATTAGTTTCAAAGGTAGAGTTCAGGGATTCATCAGTTGCATATAACACCCAGTGCTCATTCCATCATGTGCCCTCCTTAATGCCCATCCCCCAGTTACCCCATCTCCCCACTCACTTGTGATTTTTAAAGGAGGTGGACAGAGAGTGTGACAGAGAACTCTCTTTCTTTTTTGTGCTTTTTTTCAGCAACGCCAATATTTGTTTCTAGTTGCTGTGCACTTACTCTGTTTCTTCTCTATGTTCCTTCAAGCCAAGAATAATTAATGCAATATAACAGCAAAGATGAAATTTATCAGTATTGTGTTCATCAACCATTGTTTGAGAGTTTCCCTATTTCCTTGTTGTGAGCCTTTTAAAAAAGATTTCAGATTCATGTCTGGCATGAAGTGTCTAAAAGTTTGTAGTTTTGTTTTTTTAAGTGTACCCCGTATTGTTCATAAAAATATTTGAAGAAGCATTTAAAATCCATGGCAGATAACTTGGATACAAATAAAGTGAGAGAGTTTGGTCATTTCCCCCTTTGTCACGTCTATCCCCATACTGCTGCGCACGTGATCATTGTGACGCAGCCTCCCGCGGCTCCCTGTGCCCTCTGGAACGTTCCTACAGCCTGATCTGCTTCCTGCCTGAGACCCGGCTTACTCTGGGCACCCGCTCCTCCTGCAGGCCTCTTAGGAGAATACTGCTGCTTCTCTCACTGTCCACGGCCCCGGTGCCACTTCCCAGTTCCCTTCTCAGACCATTGTCTCTTTCAGGACACTCCTCTGTGGTTCTGCCATCTGGTCTGATCGCTCTCTCCCTCCTCATTACTGTCATTACCCCTCCCACCCCCATTTGCCGAAAATTGTGGCTGGCTCACAGTTATCCACTTTCCCCCAAATCCTGCTGCCACCCTGATTGTCTTCATCCTACCCCTACTTACACCTTTTCCGTAGGTCTTGCCTTTACCTTGAATATTTCTCCACATCTGAAATTCAAACTCTGACCTTTCCCCGACAACCTTGTATCTTCCTACATCTCTTCCTTGGTTATTCCGTCTACATCCATTACTTGATCGGCTCCCCTTATCTTTACTTTCTTCTCTTTCCAAATATCGCTTCCAAGGTCATCCCTTCAGCCACTGTCTTGTCAGGGTCCTCAAACTCTGTGACTCATTGCCCTTTCACTCTGCCCCCTGGCAAAACCCCAGGTGTGCACCTCCATGAGCCCATTTCCAGGCTTCTCAGAACGTGTCAGCACCACTGCAAGTTCATGTCCGCCCCCCTTGCCTGGGCTCTCAGAGCCATCCGAAAGGGAGAAGACGCAGTTGACCAAAACTACAGAACCAATAGTGAAAGCATCCTTTATTCTTTCTTTACTTCTGTCAATAGAAGAGGTTCTTGACCAGAATTAATTCCATGGCAGTTAAAGGCAATGAGTTGTTAGGGAAGCAAGACCCCTTACCCCTCTATGTGTTTAATGAGGAAAACTTAGGAAACTAAATTCAATATAAATATAATATGCACCTTTGGAAACATAATTACCAACAGTGAAAAGCTTGGGGTTTTTTTGGAGATCTTTGAGACCACAAGTTTGTGAGAAGAGAAATTGGGAGCTAAGAACTGTTTATTTTTTTACGATTTATTTATTTGTTTGGGTGAGAGAGAAGAGGGGAGAGAGAGCGTGTGTGGGCAGGGGGAGGGGCAAAGAGAGAGGGAGAGAATCTCAAGCAGACTCCCCACTGAGTGCAGAGTCCTATGCGGGGCTCGATCCCAGAACCCTGAGATCCTGACCTGAGCCAATACCAAGAGTCAGCCGCTCAACTGACTTGAGCCACCCAGCTAAGCTAAGAACTTTTTGAAATAAATATATATTGTGTTTTCATGTATGTTTTTGTTTCAGTGATTATATGAAATGTGTCCGTTTATAGGGCTAAAGAGAATCTAAAATTATGGCTAGGACACTTGCAAAAAGCCTTAGTCTGATCTACTTTATGATTTGGATTCTAAGTTGATTTGTAGCCCTACAGGTCATTCAGCAGATCTGCTCCGCGAGGTGAGCGCTGAAGAGCTGCGCTCGACTTTCCCAGGTGCCTTTCCTTCACGGCTCTGTGGTCGGTTCTGAGATCTCACCTACCTTACGCGACACTTTACAAAGTACTTTCACGTTGCATCTTGTTAGTCCTCATTGTCTCTGTGAGATTATAATTTCTATACTGTTAGAAATTTTATGTGAAGCTTGGGACCAAAAGCTGGGAGGCCAGCGTTTTTGAACCCCATGCTCTACCTCCTACTTACCCAGGCTAAAGTTTCGGATACAAGTTGCTATAGCAGAGCGTGCTATCCAGCCCTCTTGCTACTGGGTGAAATGCAGATGTTTATTAATTTTGGAAAATGAAATGTTTTTAAATAATTTAATGTGTTTATTAAATTACATAAGTTAATACAATTTGAAAATTAAATATATTCCAGAGAAATAAGGATTTCTGATGACTGATAACATTCTGTATTCAAAACCAATTCCCAAAAGACAAAACAAAACAAAACAATCCCCAAAGCTAATCAATGAGAAGTATAAAAGAGTAATATGTAAATATTAAAAATAAGTATGTGGCTTCATCCACAATGGGTTGATTAGGTAACATAACTTGCTGCTGTAACAGATAACAATCTCAGTTGTTTAACACAATAAAGATTTATTTCCTGCTTGCTCCATAAGGTTCATTCTAGGACACGGTTTTTTCTAATTAAATGACTCTGCCATTCTCCTGAACAAGGGTCAGGAAACTTTTTTTTAAAGGGCCAGATAATAAATATTTTAGGCTTTCTGGGCCATATGATCTCTTTTGCAGCTACTCGACTCTGCACACAAAAACAGCCACAGATAATATGGAAACAAATTAATGTGGTTGTATTCTAATAAAACTTTATTTATGCGACTGAAATTTGAATTTGACATAATTTGCATGTGTCACAAAATATTGTTCTTTTGGGTTTTTTTCAACTATTTGAAATGCAAAACCATTCTTAGCTCACAGGCAGTACAAAAATAGGCATTAGGATGTCTTTGGCACACAGACACTAGTTTGCTCAAGGGTCCCCTCCAAGGCCTCACAGTTGTTCTCTGCATCCTCTACATCCTGGTAGTAATGAAGGTCTTGTGGGAGATTCTGGAGGCCAGTCGTGATCCCACACCACCCTCCTTTCCCATTTCATTGACCAGAATTAGTCACAGGCCCTATCAGGATACGGAGGGTCCAGAATAGTCTTCTGTGCACCCAGAATAAAAATGAAATGGTATGGGGAAGGAACAGTGACATCTTTTTTTTTTTTTTTTAAGATTTTATTTATTTATTTGACAGAGAGAGAGAGAGCTAGAGAGGGAACACAAGCAGGGGGAGTGGGAGAGGGAGAAGCAGGCTTCCGGCTGAGCAGGGAGCCCGATGCGGGGCTCGATCCCAGGACCCTGGAATCATGACCTGAGCCGAAGGCAGGCGCTTAATGACTGAGCCACCCAGGCGCCCGGAACAGTGACATCTTTGTCATCAAATAATTTGTCTACATTTTCTGTTCTTCTTGCCTTTGCTTAAAGTAATACTTTCCTTTTCCCTTCCCCAGTCTGGTTGGTTCAACTTCCCCAATTTCACCTATTTCAATATGATCTTTCTTCAAATATTTCTACAAATAACTTTATCTTGAAGCTTTTCTTGATTCATCCAACCAAAAATAATCTCTTTCCTTTGACTCATCAAAGAAATTTGAACTTCTCATATCACTTTCTTTACCTTATAGAATGGATATTTGTGAACTTTTCTTCTTCCTGCCTCTAGATTAAAAGCTCACTGAAGGTTGATACTACTCATATTCTTTATAACAACTTTATTGAGATGAAACTCATAGACAATAAAATTCACAGTTCAGTGTAAATAGGGTAACTTCTATGGAAAACAGTATGGCAGTTCCTCACAAAATTAAAAATAGAATTACTGTATGATCCAGCAATTCCACTTCCGGGTATACACCCAAAAGAATTGAAAGCAGGGACTCAAACAGATATTTGTACACTCATGTTCATAGCAGGATCATTCATAATAGCCTAGAAGTGGAAGCAACTCAAGTGTCCACTGACAGATGAATAGATAAACAAAATGTGGAATATACATACAATGGGATATTATTCAGCCTTAAAAAGATAAGAAATTCTGCTACCACATGAATAAACCTTAAGGATATTCTGCTAAGTGAAATAAGCTAGTCACAAAAGAACAAGTGCTATATGATTCCACTTATATGAGGTACCCAGAGAAGTCAAATCATAGAGATAGAAGGTAGAATGATGATTACAGTGGGTTGGGGAGGGAGGACAGGGATGGGTTATTTTTTAATGGGTATGGAATTTCAGCTTTGCAAGATGAAAGGAGTTATAGAGATGGATGGTGGTACTGGTTGCACAATAATGTCAATATACAAATGCCAATAACTGCACACTTAAAAGATGGTTATGATGGTAAGTTTTATGTTATGTGTATTTTACCACAATTCAAAAGAAATTTAAGTGCATTGTAACAATGTCCCCCCCAAAAAATACACTTCAATAGTTTTTAGGTATTTCAAAGTTGTGCAACCATTGCCACAATCAATTTTATTCTTTTTATTTAAAAATTTTTTTAAAAGATTTTATTTATTTATATAAGAGAGAAAGAGAGCATGAGCAGGGGGAGGGGCAGAGGGAGAAGGAGAAGCAGGCTCCCTCCTGAGCACGGAGACTGACACGGGGCTCGATCCTAGGACCCTGAGATCATGACCTGAGCCAAAGTCATATGCTTAACTAACTGAGCCACCCAGGCACCCAACCACAATCAATTTTAGGACATTTTCATCACCCTAAAAAGAAGCCCTGTACCCATTAGCAGTCATTCCTCGTTACCCTTCCCCCAGCCCCTGGCAACCACTAATCTACTTTCTGCCTGCATGGATTTGCCTATTCTGGACATTTCATATAAATAGAATCATACAATATGTGGCCTTTTGTGTCCAGCTTCTTTAACTTAGCATAATGTTTTTAAGGTTCATCCATGTTATAGGACTTCATTCTTTATTCATATCAGTACTTCATTCCTTTTAATAGCTGAATGATATTCCACTGTAGGGATACATTTTGTTTATCCATTCATCAGTTGATGGACATTCAGCTTCTTTCTACTTTTTGGCTATTTTGAATATTGCTGCTATGAACATTTATGTAAAAGTTTTGTGTGGACATATGTCTGCAATTCTCTTGGGGATATATATACACAAACCTACCTGCTTACCTACTTACCTAGGAGTGGAATTGCTGGGTCATATGGTAATTCCATGTTTAGCATTTTGAAGAACTTCCAAATATTTTACAATCTTCAGCAATGTGTCAGGTTTTTAATTTCACTACCTCCTCACCTCTACATCTCTCTTTTTAATGATATCTCTCCTAGTGGGTGTGAAGTTGTAGCTCATGGTGGTTTTAATTTGCATTTCCTTCATGATTAATGATGCATCTTCACATATGCTCATTAGCTATTTGTATATTTTCTTTGGAGAAATGTTTAAATTAAATTGTATTTTTATTGTGAGTTGTGAGAGTTCTTTATATATTTTGATACAAGTCCCTTATTAGATATATGATTCCGTGGGTTCTTTTTACTTTCTTTATGGTGTCCTTTGAAGCACAAAAATTTTTTAATTTTGATGGTGTCTAATTTATCTATTTTTTTCTTTTGTTGCTTATGTTTTTGGTGTCATAAGAAACCATTGCCTTGAGGGTATTATGCTAAGTGAAATAAGTCAATCAGAGAAAGACAATTATGATCTCACTGACATGTAGAATATAAGAAACAAGGCAGAAGATTATAAGGGAAGAGAGGAAAAAAATGAAACAAGACAAAACGAGAGAGGGAGATAAACCATAAGAGACTCTTAATCACAGGAAACAAACTGAGGGTTGCTGGAGGGGTGGAGGGTGGGAGGGATGGCGTAACTGGGTGATGGACATTGGGGAGGGTATGTGTGGTAATGAGCACTGGGTATTATATAAGACTGATGAATCACAGGCCTGTACCCCTGAAACAAATAATACATTATATGCTAATTAATTGAATTTAAATTTTAGAAAAGAGTTAAATTTAAAAAAAAAAAGAAACCATTGCCTTATCCAAGATCATGGAGATTTACTCATAAGAGTTTTATTGTTTTAGATCTTCCTTCAGTCTGTGATCCATTTTGAATTAATTTTTGTATATGGTGTGAAGTAGGAGTCCAGCATCATTCTTTTGCCTGTGGATATCCAGTTGCCCCAGCATCATTTGTTGAAAAGACTGTTCTTTCCATATTGAATTGTCTTGGCACCCTTGTCAAAAATCAATTGGCCATAAGTTATGAGATTATTGATCTATAGGTCTACCCTTATACCACACTGTCTTGAATACTGTAGCTTTGTCATGAGTTTTTAAATTGGGAAGAGTGAATCCTCCAACTTTGTTCTTCTTTTTTAATATCGTTTTGGTTATTCTTGATTCCTTGATTTATGTATGAATTTTAGGATCAGCTTAATTTAATTTGTTAATTTCTGCAAAAAGCCAGTTGAACTTTTGGTAGGGATTGCATTGGAGATGCAGATCAGTTTGTGTAGTATTGCCATACTAACAATATTAAGTCTTCTGATCTATGAACATGGGATGTCTTTCTGTTTATCAGGTCTTCTTTATTTCAGCAATGTTTTGTGGTTTTTAGTGTGTAAGTCTTACAATTCTTTCTTAAATTTATTCTGAAGTATTTTATTCTTTTTAATGCTATTATAAGTAGAATTGTTTTCTTCATATTCTGATTGTTCATTGCTTGTATATAGAAATACAATTGATTTTTGTATATAGATCTTATATTATACAACCACTGCTGAACTTGTTTATTAATTCTAACAGTGTGTGTGTGTCCATGTCTGTGAATATTACTCAGTGTCACATCCTCTGGAGCACTTAACACAGTGCCTAATCTTAACTAATATTCAATCCATTTGTATTCCTTGAATTGATCTCTTTAACTGTCCTATTGCCACAGAAGCCTCCCATTTACTGAGTAATGTTTCAGTTCCCAATATCATTGAATCATTCTTTTTCTTCTTCACTCTTATCTGCAGGCTTGGGAACAATGGGCCGGGGCATTGTCATTTCTCTTGCGAAGGCCAAGATCCCCGTGATTGCTATGGACTCGGACAAGAAGCAGCTAGAGACTGCCGATAAGATAATAACCTCCCTCCTGGAAAAAGAAGCATCCAAAATGCAGCATAACAGCCACCCTTGGTTAGGACCCAAACCCAGGTTAACTGCATCTATGAAGGAGCTTGGTGGTGTGGATTTAGTCATTGAAGCAGTATTTGAGGAAATTAACCTGAAGAAGCAGGTCTTTGCTGAACTGTCAGCTGTGTGCAAGCCAGAAGCTTTTCTGTGCACCAATACTTCAGCCTTGGACATTGATGAGATTGCTTCTTCCACTCATCGCCCTCACTTGGTCATTGGCACTCACTTCTTCTCACCAGCTCATGTGATGAAGTTGTTAGAGATTATTCCCAGCCAGTACTCTTCCCCCACTACCATTGCCACAGTTATGAATTTAGCAAAAAAGATTAAAAAAATTGGAGTAGTTGTAGGTAACTGTTTTGGATTTGTTGGCAATCGAATGTTGAAACCTTATTACAATCAGACGTATTTCTTGTTAGAAGAAGGCAGTAAGCCAGAGGAGATTGATCAGGTGCTGGAAGAGTTTGGTTTCAAAATGGGACCTTTTAGAGTGTCAGATCTTGCTGGATTGGATGTGGGTTGGAAATCTCGACAAGGGCAAGGTCTTACTGGACCTATGTTGCCTTTAGGAACTCCTGCCCGAAAGCGAGGCAATGGGAGATACTGCCCAATTCCTGATATGCTCTGTGAATCAGGACGATTTGGCCAGAAGACAGGTAAGGGTTGGTACCAATATGATAAGCCATTGGGTAGGATTCACAAACCTGACCCCTGGCTTTCTGAATTTCTGTCACAGTACAGAGAAACGTATCACATTGAGGCACGTATCATTAGCCAGGATGAGATCCTTGAGCGCTGCTTATATTCACTCATCAACGAAGCATTCCGTATCTTGGGAGAAAGGATGGCTGGTACTCCAGAGCACATCGATGTTGTCTATTTACACGGGTATGGATGGCCAAGGCACAGGGGTGGGCCCATGTTCTACGCCTCCACAGTTGGGTTGCCCACAGTGCTAGAGAAGTTGCAAAAATATTACAGGCAGAATCCTGATATTCCACAACTAGAGCCTTGTGACTACCTGAAAAAATTGGCTTCCCTGGGCAATCCTCCTCTGAAAGAATGGCAAAGCTTAGCAGGACCCCCTAACGGTAGATTATGATTCAGCCTTCCAGGTTATGCCTCATGGAATTTCATTGATATTAAATCCAAAGATCCAAAATAAGATTGCTCTGAAATACAAAGCAGAAGAAATAAGTGGTTGGCTAAACCTTCTCTTTGGGTCTTCTGTCTGATTATTCTAATGGGTCAAATCTTTAGGAATGTGCTTCCTATGCCTCTGAGTCTGTCTTTATCAGATAAATCATTTTGATCCCAGTGAATAAACTTGTATTAATACCGTAATAGCTAAGGAGAGAGACTCAGGATTAAGTTGAGGTTTCCAAGTGCTTTGATCATTGGAGATGTATGTCAACAATTAATCACTGATAAATGCCACTAAGCCACAAATTCATTCTGACCCCTTTTCACCTCACACACACGGCCCTGATAGGAAATCTTATGGGTCCTCTACTCAACAAACATTCACTGTGCACCTCCTGAGCATTTTGCCCAGCACTTGGCAAACCCAGAGTCTAGAGGGGCATTAATTCAGCGGGGAAAGCTGTGATGAAGCTTAGGCCATAGTCTCAGAGGTGCAGTGGAGATAGTTGGCAGGGCCGAGTCAGCAGGGAGGGTCTCTGTGAGTACAGAACATCACCCACGGGGAGGCGGAAGGAGTAACCAGAAAGAAAGGCAGGGTGTCAAAGGTATAACAGTGCTAATGTTATAGGCAGAACCCAGGTGGGAAGTAGTGAGGGCGTCAAGTGCTTCAGACTAGAATGGGGAACTCAGAGTAGCTTGGCAGCTCATACTTGGCGTATGACTTCTGTCCACAGAGCGGTTACATATGCACAGTCTTGCTTGCTGCTCGCAAGGGGCTCAGTAATGTTTGTTGATAACTTCCTGGGGACCAGGTGATGTCTATCATTCTTTTCTATGCATGGAGAAGTAACAGAAAGTAGCAATTGTTGACTTCATGTAGGAAGGGATCTTATCTTAGAAAACATGTCTAACCTCCTCTGATTCTATGATAGAGTCATGATGCCAGTCTCTCTGTCATGATGAGCCTCTGTGATGCTGGGTATGGAAATTGTTGAATCTTGGAAAGTCTGAAATTACTGCAAAACAGATTCTGTATAGTTTTGTTATAAGAGTTCTTCTCTTTTTACTTTTTTGTGGGGTTAAAAGTTGAGGGGCTGGTCAACACGAAAACTGGTCCACGAGTGTTTATAGCAGTATTGTTCATAATAGCCCCAAATTGGAAACAACCTAAAGCTCCATCAACAGATGAATGGATAAACAAAGTGTGGAATAGTCATAGGGTAGAATATTTGGCCATAGAACGAAATAAAGTAAGCATAGATACATGCTATGACATGACGAGCCTTCAAAATACTATGCTAAATCAAAGACGCCAATCACAAAAGGCCATATGTTGTATGGACATTTATGTGAAATAAAATAGGCAAATCTATAAAGACAGAAAGCAGATCAGAGGATGCCTAAGGCTGGAATCATTAGGAGCTAGGGAATGAGGAGGGACCTAATGAGGACAGGTTTCTTTTTGGGTTGATGAAAATGTTCTGAAATTATTGTGGTGATGGTTACATAACTCCGTGAATCTACTAAAAACCATTGAGTTGTGTAATTTTAAATGGGTGAATTGTATGGTATGTGAATTATAACTCAGAATTGTCAATAAATAAGCAAATAAACAGATGGGCTCAACTTGTCCTCCAGTGTGATGTAAATGAACTATTTTCACTGTATTTTCACCTGTGAATCCAAGCAAAATTAGCAAAAGTTCTGATAGAGGAAACTTGAATGAATATAGTATAAGTTTTCCATTATCAAAAACAAAAACAAACAAAAACTCTAGAGAGTGCCTTGAATTGTAGTTTAATTTAGAATCATTTTTAAATTGTGTATTGCTGGATTTTATATAAATTGGTCCTTTAAATTAAAGAAAATTAAAAAAAATTTGAGAAGTGGTAACTTTGTCTGCAAATTGACTTATCTTCAAATGAATGTTGAAGGACTGACCTGTGCATGTGCCTGCGCGCACACACACAAACACACACACACCTACACACCTACACACCTTTTCTTCTTTAGACCCTGAGTGGATTTTATTTTGAGTTCTTAAAACTCATTTTCACCCTACACTACCCTCTAGGTTGGACCTTTGAAACTAGAGTGTCTATAAGATTTGTGAGTCAAAAGTCCCAGAAATCTGATGCTGATGTTTGTGTATATGTATATGAATATATTGCTTAGAAGAGGTACCACGTCTTATGTCATATTTTCAAAAGTGTCTGTGACCCAATAAAGGTTTTAAGGACTAATATTCTCTATATAATATGGGAAGAAGAAATAGGAGTTCATTTATTCTTATTTTATATCAAAGAGGCAAAACTAATTTAAATTTCTTGGGTCCTACATACAACAGTGGATATAATATGATGAAATCTGTCCAGGATATTCTATTTCATCCTTGAAAATGTACTTGCTTCAAAGGCTTCTTTTGTTGTTGTTATTGATAACTTTAAAACTGCCTGTCTTTTTGAAAAAAAAAAACAGCCTCAGAATGACATTTTAAAAATGTGTTCTAATGGTAATCGACTCTGACGAGAACTATATATTAGAAGCACTCTTGAAGCTTTGCCGTAATTCTCCAGCTTTATAGATGAGACTAACGATGTTCCTTAAATCAGTAAAGCCACCGTGCAGCTGTGGTTGCTATCTACTTATTCACTTCCAGCAAGAACAGGTGTGCGTGAGAGTGATAAAGTGTGGGATCCTAAACTCCCGATTAATGATGTTTCAGAATTGTGTTTGCAAATCATACCCCACAGCAGTTAGGAACCTGAAATTTCTTGGGTCTTACATTTGTCTTTAGACACCTAAAAATCAGAAATATTGTAGGCTTACTAGATTGGCTGACCCTTCTTGGTGGCCATTGATGAGAATAATAGAAAAGAAGTTCTCTGGACTACAAACAGCCTTCCGCAAGAACAGAATAGTCTTCGACTATTCTTGAGATGATCAGTGCCATCTGCTCATCTTGCCAGCTTATAATTTTGAGATTAACAAACAAGTTGCACTGCTTCCTGGTAGGACAGCAGCATTATACAACTCTGAAGGACACCACTCATACTGTGTTCCAAGAGGTGGGCATTCACATAAAAATAATGTGAATAGCACCCCCTAGAGTTGTGCAACACCCGGTATTGTTTTCAAGTCAAAAACTCTTTCCTGTTTATTGCTATAAGTATCTTTATAACCAAAAGTTAGCTGACAAAAGGAAAGTTTCCCTTTGGATTGGTGTCTCTAATGAGACCAAAATTTTACAAAGATTTCATCTTGTCTGTTCATCTTAGTACTTTTTTTTTTTTAGCATTCTGACAAAGAGGAACATAAGAGATGAACAGGGCTTTTTAATTCTTGTCTAAAGTGTTCCAGGACATTTCAATTGTAATATTTATTTATTCTCTTTCACCAAACTTAAAATAGCCTAGCAGAATGAGTGCCTGAATGCATCTGATAAGGTGACAAGAGCAGAGCTGATGCAATCTATCTCTTTCACTATGGTTACGGTTATTCCACCTTCTCTAAGAGGAAACAGTTGCTAATTCTAGCCATAATGTGAAATCTTTAGGGTAGGTAGGGCAAAACCTTCTCCAACCAAACCATCACTGCACTTGGATTCCCGGAATCTGCCAAGGCCTAGACAGTTGTTAATTTGTACATTTTGGCAGAGACTGTTGGCTGTCCCCCAATGTTTTTCTTCTTCTGTAGTAATACATTTCTCAAATTTTTTTAGCTGAGCATTAGGCTGCTCAAAATACACAATATATTTGTCAGCTTCTCTTGCATCCAGTTGTGAACATGTGACTGAGATCTAGACAATGGGATGTATATAGAAGCATCACATGGCAGCTTTGGGGAACCTCCCTTAGAAGTCATCTGATGTGCTTCCTTTGCCCATTTCTTTTTTGTCCCTTCTTCCAATTTGCTGCCTGGAACATAGATGTGACAGCTGGAGTCCAACCACTATCCTGGGCCATGAGGACAAAGGTAATGCCTTAGGGATAGCAGAATGGAGGGCCTTAAAGAGCTTGGTCCCCCAAAGACCTCCTGGAGCAGAGTTACCACTCTGCCTTCCAACAGCCACTTATGTGAGAGAGAAATCAATTCCTATCATGTGTAAGTAAGCCAGTGTTATTGTAGGTCTTTAATTATCACAGGTAGGGCCCAGGAATCAGTGGGTTTTTGTTTTTGTTTGTTTGTGTTTTTCTCAGTGCCACAGGTAATTCTGATGCACAGGCAGGCTCAAGAATCCAGTCTCATTAAACAGGATTTCTTATTTCAAGAAAAAAAAATTGCCAGTGTGATGTGATTTTCAACTTGATATTGAATTGCTCATAAATTTTTATGTTATGTTTCATGTAGAATTGTTGTAGGCAGTTCATGGAGATGCCAAATAAGAACCTGAGAATAGGGCTTTAAATCAATATTTAGTAGGAATTAGTCTCACAGTCCTATTTGAACCTCAGATGACTCCTACTTAATGAGAGACAAAAACACCCAAAGAAAGTTTGCATTATGGGAAGGAAAGGTGGTCAACAATGGCACAAAGGAAAAGAAGAATAATTCAAGAAAAGATATCTTGAATTAAACAAATAATCTCTCTCAGCACTGACCAGAAGGGTGGTGATAAATCTGAAGTACAGGAACTTTCTGCTCAGTAGATCAGAGATCTCCAAAATGGGGCGCCTTTACCCAAAGAAGTGTAAAAGATGATTCATAGAGGTACAGGCAGAAAATATTAGAAATGATTGCTACTTATCTTTGCCTATAAAATCAGAAATTAATCTTTATTAATATTTCACGTATATATGGACACTGTTGGCCTCACCAGGTTGCATCTCAGACAGGCATATGTCAGGAATGATGTATCCTGCAGGGAGAGGGCAAATTCCAATATACAGAGAGGCTTCCTCCCTCTTTCATTTGCTGTCAGCATGTTGAGAAATATTGCAGATTACGTATGCTGGGATAAGTGGATATTTAGACTTAATTATTTAACCTAACTAAATTAACCCTCACAAAAGACTCCTTGAAAGAAAACACAATTGAAGATAATGCAAATAATACAAACAAAGGTAAACAACAAGAAAATTGCAGAGCTGGTAGGTCTGATACCAGCTTTTTGTCAGGCGCATTACAAGGTAGAATTATTTAGTCAGATCCAGCAAGAAGTTGACCAAAAAGCTTTGAAATTATCAAGAAGATTATTAGGAATATTGATTTATAATCCACCATTCATGATGAAGCTTGCCCTAAGTGTGTATTGTGTCTTATATTAGTTAATAATAGGACAAAACCATCACCTATTAGCAAAATGTTTTAACATTATTTATTTCATCATCTCATCATTTAAAAATTTCTTTTCTTTCTTTTTTTTTTTTAAGTAGACCCACGCCCAGTGTGAAGCCCAATGTGGGATTTGAACTCATGACCCTGAGATCAAGACCTGAGCTGAAATCAAGAGTCGGATGCCTAACCAACCAAGCCACCCAGGTGCCCCCATTTATAAATCTCTATTTTATTGTGTTTTATAATGTGCATATATATCAATATAATAGTGAAACTATACAATTTATAAACATCCTACATATTAGAGATGTATACTAAAATTTATGTGATCCTTTACCCTGATCCTCCTTTAGGAATGAGAGATTTATTTTCCTAGCTGCTAACAGTGCTGCCAGAAAAATGGCCCTCTTCGGGGATTGCCTTGCTTAAGGTCGCATCTTCTTCCAAATGGAGCTTGCATCCAATGACTGCTCAGTGCAGGAGTATAAGTGCCTGGTCCTCTTGCCCCAACTCTGAAGGGCTGACAGACAGCTCTAGAGCTCCCAGTGATATTGGCCTGGGGTCTTCATTGCTACTGCATTGAAATGCAACCTCTCCCTCTGCTCCTTCCCACTTCCTCCTCTCTCCTTCACAGGTGTTAATCCCAAGAGCACTCCTTAATTTCCATCTCAGAGTCTGCTTCCCAGGGAACCCAAACTATGACATGAAGCTCCATGATCAGAAATGTTTGGATGCATATACTCTCCATCAACTCTTTGGTATTGGTCTAATAGATTTCTTTTAATCTCACATATCACTAATTTTTATGAATATCCTGGGTGTGCTAGAAAAGAATGTGCATTCTCTGATGAATATGGGATTCTCTCGTAAGATCAAGGTTGTTAATTAAATGACGTTTGTCAAATTTTCCATTTAGCCTTGATGATGTTTTATCTGTAGTCCGCCTCCTCCTGTGATTGGGAGCAACTACCCATGCCAGAGTGGTGACTCCTTTCCTCGGCACAAAGAATCCAGAAGTGACTGAGTGGCACATGCGGTGTACAAAGGCTCTTACTGTGTCCCTGGTGGAAGCGTTTCCCTTCCAGGAACAGACTTCTAGATCTCAGAGAGTTAGTTGCTGCTACTGGAAGCAAGATTCTCCAAGTGGGTCACTGGCAGTAATGGTAAGTGGGGCCACTTCTACTTCCGCTCTTTGGTCCCTACAACCTTGAATTCTGCCTCTTAGAAACATAGCATCACATAACGGTTATTGATTTGGGGTGTGAATTGCATCCCGGAGGACCAGTAACCCATATTCACAGGATATCCTCTCCAAGCTGGCCCCTCAGGGCTAACTTCAAAGAGATACT